GCATCACATGTTTGCTCAGTTAATGGCTCAAAAGATTGAAAATCAAATGTATTGAGTAAAAAGTCAACTATGGTCAATATACAGTCAAACTTCAAGATTTTTTGCCAATATCAACATTTTGAGGTGATATTCATCATTTTATCAAGAGTTGATCATGATTCCTCAAGGAAAGCTCTCAAATCATCAAAGGTCAAAAATTGTCAAATTAGAGTTTTGACTGAAGATGACTGATCATTAACTTTTGGACTAGTGCATGACCTAATGGCTTAAAGCATGATCTCAAGGGCTCAAATACAACATCTTGACCTCATTTCATGGCTCAAGACATCTTCAAAGATACAAGTGATTGACAGTTGGAGAATTAAACCAATTGAATGAAAAGTCAATAGTCACTCAAAAGTCAAACTTTGACTTTTTGGTCAACATTGGAATTCAAAAATCAAGAATCATCAAAACTACCAAACTTCATCATCAAGAATCAAGAAAGTCAACAAAAGTCAACATTGAAGATTTTCAAACACTTAGAAAAATTCAAGTGTTTTGTACCTAAAAAACCCTAACTTCACAGCAAGTTTCCTCAAGATACAAGTTGATTCAAGGAAAACTTTCAACATGAAAGTTGTAGGGATTAATGAATTCTACAACTTTGTTAATGTGAGGTGATCCTCAAAAAGTGCTTAATTTAAGAGATATGAGCCCATGAAGTTCTGATTATTTTTACCCAACACTTAGAAAAAATTTCTAAGTGTTTTGTTCTTAACAAAGTCACTAATTTATGGCCATTTTTCACTAAGATCTCAATTGATTCATAAAAAACTCACAACATGAAAATTGTAGATCTTGATTCAAGCTTTCCAAAATGTCCAAGAACACAAATTTATCATACTTGAGCTAGAAATTTTGAAGAGATGAATATGGCATGACAAACTTGAATTTTAGGTCATTCTTGTGAAAACCTTATGGCGAAATCTCAAACCTAAGCTACATGATCTCACTTTTCAGGCCATTTAACTTCTAAATCTCACCTTGATTAGAGATTTACACAGGTCCTAAGTGTATTACACAAGGATCTAAAGCTTTGTCTAAGTCTTGATGTCATTTTTAGATGAATTTGCATAAAGTCACTTTGCCTCTTTGATAAAGCAAGCTTTGTCAACAACTCCTCACTTAATCTTGTAACTTTCTCCTAATCATATCACACAAAATCTCCATATCAAAATCAACTTCTAGAGGTCAGCAAAAGCATGGCAAATCCCTTGAATCACTCATTTTCTTCATCATGAAGCAACATGCTTTTTTGTGCATTTTTAAACCAAATGACCAAAACAGCTTTCCTTGTGAACTAAGAATGATTTTTGCAAGTTAGAGGGACCATTTGCAACCTCTATAAATAGAGAGGCAAGGCTCAGAACCAGGACAAAAATTTTTTTCTCAAAAAACACCATTGTTACACATTTGAAGCTTCCAACACTCAACTTCAAATCCACTTGTGTGTTTTCCTCTTTTATCATTCAAATACCTTTTATCCATCAAATCAAAGTTGTTCAAACACTCTTGGCATGAATGTAACACCTCCACCATCATCGTCCAAACCTCACTTTCATCATTTACAACTTGACTTGGTTGGAAAGTTTCAGAGGGTTATAAGGTATGCTGAGAATATCATTAGCTTCCTGGGAGTTCAAGGAAGCTTTTTGCACCATTACTTTGTCTCTGGGAGTGGTGGAATGAGTTCTGAGTTTTGCTTCAAGAGGTAAGTTTTCTTGAATTTCAAAACTCCATATACACACATCATTTGCTTTCAATTTCAAAAGATAAAATATATATATGATTGTACTGAAACTAATCTTATCCTTAGTTTTCATTTATGTTGATTGTGTAATAAGAATTTTGGAATTGAGTTTTCTGAAATATTAGGTTTTCAGTTTGGTACCAAACAAAATTCGCGCTCATCTTTAACCTATAACTTTCATAATTTATATGGTTGCATTCCTTGGAAAAAATCAAACAAATTTGGTTTTGGAAGTTTTCAATTTGGTTGAGAAATGAGCATTTTACAAAATCAAAAAAAGATGAAGTTATGTTGTTGTTACAGTAAGCGCGAGAGGAAGAAGAAAGAGGTGTGCTGACAATTTCAAATTTTCAAAACATATTTTATAATATATTTAGTAAGATACGTCTCATAACCAGATGAAACAGTCACCCCAGTGGTAAAACAAGCGTGCGCATACTAGAGGGACCTGGGTTCGAGCCCCAGTGATACCCTTTTGTTATTTTTTCACATTTTGTTCTTGTAGATTCAACACACTAAGCCTACGCAAGTACATGGTGCACCATTCTCTTCATTACCATTGGATCTCTCAAAGATTCAGATCAACGCGCTAGAGCTTGCGTGCCCACGGTGGACCTACTTGGAGCAACACGCCAGATCTTAGGCAGGTGGACTGGGCTTACATGATCTGGGTCCAACGTTTCTATTTCTCACACCCCCCAAATTTCTTATAATGCATGCCCATTTTAATTTCTTATTTTTTGTTTTAATTAATATTTTCTTTTCTTTAACCAATTTCATTTTTTATGTAATTAACAAAAATCATAAATTCATAAAAATAAATTAGTTTTGGGTTTTTAATTAATTTAATTTTTAATAATTAAAATTAATTTAATTTAATCACCTTATTTTATTTTAAATGGTTAATTTGTAAATTAACTAAGAATTAGGTTTTATTTTTATTAATCACTTCCAATATTTTTCTAAATAAAACACCAAAAATATTTTCTAAATAATTAGAATTCTTTAGATTTTAAATATCTTCCTCTTTTCACCACCTTCGCGTATTTTACTTTTGCATTAATATTTTTTAATATTATAATTGTTAACGGTCTGTAATAGATAATTAGGTTTACTTTACTTTTTCTCCCCAATTTATGATTTGTACCCCCATTCCCGAAGTGTTGTAATAGCGCAGGACATTTAATTTCTACAATTTACTGTTTTCCTTATTACTGTTAGTTTATTAGAATTGTATGATAAGATCTAAAACAAAACGCTAGACAACCATAAACCTAAGATAAATTAACTGAAAACAAATCACTATTCACACACGCACCTCTAGGGTGACCTCGCTTGTTGCCTTCGGATAAAACAGTCATGTCCCTCGAATATGAGACACTTTAGCAAAGATCCTCGATAAAAAAAAAGATCGTAGTCCCTCGATGACCCTTCGATGTTGCCTTCGGTAAACGATCTTAGTCCCTTACGACAATTGCTAAAGCGTCATACAAGTTGCCTTCTATAACTGTACGATGACCCACGCATGTCCCTCACATCCAATGATAGGGCTTCCTACTAACTAATGGTAGGATAGCACTATCTAAAGGAAGAGGAAAATAACGCGAAAGACTTTTTAAGTAGGTAAATCGCGCGTAATTGCTTGCTCACAAGCTAAAACGATCTTTACACTTCACACTTTCAAAACAACTACTTTCAAAACAATTTTTAAACACTTTTGAGAACTGATACAAGGGTTATTGTAAAGCAAATTGCTTTACATTGGCATTTTCAAAACATCTTTTCACAAAACAACAATTTCTTTCAACAAATATTTTCAAAACAGATATTTTGTATACATTCTCAACGATATGAGAATCATTACAAAATTGTCGTACTTAGGCATTTTAAAAATATTTTTCAAACATACATAAACACAAAGCATTTCAAAAAGTGAACTAGCAATTAAGAGTCCGTATATAACTACGGATGAAAATGGTGCTAACACCTTCCCTATTCATAACCTATCCCTGAACTCAGAAAATCCGCAAAATGTCTTTTCTGTTCTTTTCACTATTTCCTTTATTGGATAAAAGAAAAGTCGCTGGCGACTCTTGCTATCCGCAATATTTGCGATGAAATACAAAACTCAAAAGTCAGTTCTCCCACCATATTACAAAATTTATGTTTTATTTTAAATATTTCTATTTTTAAATCAAACTTTAATTCTTTTTCTTGCCACCATTACTCATTCATTTGATCTTTAAACAATAAATTTATTTTAATTTTAATTAAATAAATCGCATATCATATCAGAGCAGAAGACAAAATTTGATTTAAAATTAACGTTAATTCAATAAACGATAAATAATTTTATATATATATATATATATATATATATATATATATATATATATATATATATATATATATATATATATATATATATATATATATATATGAAGTTCATCCATAAAAATTTCTGTTACCATATTAATTATCACTTATTTGAGCTAAACCAATTATTAATAGATGTTCACTTCATCATTCAAAGAACCAATATTTTAATAGTTTGACTAAAGTTGTTTCACGTACCATATTTATATTTTATTTTTTAAAACATTATTTTTAAATATAATTCATAAATATAATTTTTTTTTTAATTCTAACAAATCAATTACATAAAAATTATTTATTTAAGCACTTAATTAATATAAACTTTTTTTAAATATTAGAAGCGGCAACACCGCTCCTTATACATAATTGAATATTTCATCACTAAATTAAATATTAAAAAAGCCAACGCCACTCTCCATGCATAAGCACGAGGATGTTGCTAGTTAGTTGTAAAAGCAATAGTTATAAGCCTTTTTGAGTGTGAACCTAATCAAGTTATCAAGAAGACTTATCTGCAATTGGTTACCTCTTTATACCTTTTGATTCCAAGAGAAAACAAATCAAATGGTAACCCCCAAATCTCTTAGTACTCCACTTAACACACATCACTCTCCTTCTTCACTTTTTCATTCTTAAGTAATTTGGATAAAATAAGAGGGAACAAAAAAGAAAAATCTTGGTTTGTTCATAAAACAATCAAATAAGAGTTTGATCATTTTGTTTTCATGTTAATAGTCATTTCCTTGCATACAAGTAGGTTATATATAACAACTTCAAAATATGAAGATAACAGTTGATATAAAAAAGATAGGAAGATATGCCAGAAATAAATCTAGCTAGCTGTGAATCTATAAACCATGATATGCTTGTAAGTCTCTCCAGGCTTCACAATCTGAGATGGAAAGTTAGGCAAATTCACTGAATCTGGATAACCCTGTGTCTCCAAAGCAATACCACCATATTTATGATATGTAGCTCCATTCTTTCCTTTAGTATCACCCAACATGCCACTGGTATAGTACTGCAACCCAACTTGATTTGACCACAACTCCATTTTCCTCCCTGAGACAGGATCTCTCACCACAGCATCTTTGCTCAAGTAACTTTTACCATTCTTGTCCAACGCGTAGTTAATGTCGTATAAACCAGGAAGCTCGTTAATTCGGCTTCCAACTTCTTTTGGCGTAAGGAAATCGTATGGCGTGTTGCTCACGGGCTGGAGTTTGCCTGTCGGGATGAGTTTATCGTCTACTGGTGTGATGTTTGAACCAAATATTTGAACGGTGTGTGATAGAATGTCGCCACTGTCGTGTCCTCTTAGGTTCCAGTAAGTATGTTGTGCTAGATTTACTGGTGTCGGTTTGTCGATTGGCCTAGCAGTCATTTTCACACCCAATATGTGTTTTTCAATTAACATGTAAGTCACACTTACCTCGAGTTTTCCAGGAAAACCTGTCAAGTTTTCACAAAGAGAATCATACAAAAATGAATCAAGATCCTATTGAGAAAGTTTGTGAATAATCAAATTACAAACCTTGCTCGCCATCGGAACTGTTGTAGACAAATGTGATATGACTGTCTTCCTTGTGATAACCTACTGTCCATATATTGTCGCCGAACCCTTTGGTACCACCTGCAGTTTCATCACTCAATAATCAATCACAAAAATGTACATAATAATGAACCATTGCAGGCATAGTTATCAGAAATTTACCGTGGAGTGTGTTCCCATGATCATTCGCCGGCAATTTGTATGTTTTGCCATCCAGAGTGAATTGAGCTCCTCCAATCCTATTTGCTACACGCCCAATAAGAGCACCGAAGTAACATGTATCAGTCTGCAACAAATTTCAACATTTCGTGTATTAATGTCCCTGGTAACAACCTATGTAACACCGATACTTTTGAAAAAAAAGTGTATATGTGTCAGTCAATGTGTCAATATCTATGTCTGAAACCCGATACAGACAATTGTCTGTCTCACATTTAATTTATTCATTTTTTCAAATTATTACTGGAAATCACTTCAAATGACATTCCTATGACATAAACACATCATGAATGCATAATTTTCTTTGTTAAAAATCATAACCTAAATCAAACAAAACAATAAAACAATGAATGGATCATACCTCATAGGACTCAATGGAATCATAACCAAGAACAATATCAGCTAAATTCCCTGTAAAATTGATTCATGGAAAATGCTAATGTATGAGGTTAGAGCAAATAAAATTCAGATTCAGAAATGAAACGAAACAAAACAAAAACAAACCATGTTTATCAGGTGCAAAAAGAGAAACAATTGTAGCACCATAGTTAGTCAAATTAAGCCTCAAATCTCCTCTTTTCAATTCATAAAATCCAATATTTTTATTTTCCTTTGCATGAACAAGAACAAGAAGCCCCAAGATGGCACAACACAATAAGGATGCTTTAGACATTATTGGAAAATGTTTCTGAAACCTTTTCACAATAATGAATGAATAACACAAACCATGGAAATAGAAATATATAGAGAAAGAGTAGCAGAGAAAATGGGCCCCACAAAATTCGGATTAAATTCCAAATTAGCGTTAAACGCTGTTATTGGATAAGTTTTGATTTATGTAAGGAAAGTTGTATGGCATATGCGTGATGCGTCATTGCCACAAGTACAACTTGATATTTTAAGAAAAATGGATAATTGTACCATTTTTACTTTTTTTTTTTTTCTTCTAAAACTATTTACTCTCCTTTGATTTAAAGTTAGTCATTTGATAGAACATTAATACCTAAAATAGACTCTCTTTTTTCAAACTGTTTCTATGTTTTGACCGGTTCAACTTACTTAAAATCGTAAGATTTTTTTGACATGTTTTAAAATTAATGTTGATATTAGTATTAATATTTTGTTTGGTTGTTCGTTGACAAGTCAATCTTTAGCATGATGTTACTCTTCATTTTAACTAATACTTACTGGGTTTGATTCGCTAGAAAATAAAAGATTAGACAAGACAATTTTAATTGTCTTGGGTTTGATTTAAAAAATATTAATGGAATAAAATAAAAATTAGGATTAGAGATTGGATAAAAATTAAAATATCTATATTGTCACTGAACTAATGCTTCAAAAATTAAATTAAACTGTTCGATTGTGTTGGTTTAATCTTGAACTGTTGTTTAATTCTGTTCGGTTTAGATCAAAATAACTACAAAATCCTTTCAACCATAAAAAATTGAAATAATCACAGAATTGGGACTGATTTTGTTAAATCAGATGGTTCAAAAAATCAAATTTTTATGTTTTAATTGTGTTGTTTTCTTTGTTTAGATCTAAAGAGTTGATTATATCAAACAGTTAAAATCATATAGATAGAAGATTAAAAAAATTGAAAGACATGAAAAAATCTAAATACAAATATATGGAAAAGAAATAATATAATATTTGTGGACATGAGATAAGTGATATTGATTTTGAAAGAGATAAAAAAATTATGCTAATGAGAAAATTAAATTGGAGAAATGACGTTTTTGTACTAGTGTTGAATTACATTGTGTGAGTTAAAAAATTAAGACAAATATATAACTATTAGGCTTTAATTAATTTTCTAATTTCATATTGGATCTTACATTACATTCTTCTTCCGTAAAATTGTTTATTATATTTGTTTGAGAACTTATTTTATAAATTATGATATAAAATAATTTATTAGGATGTTTAGTAATATATTTATTTAATTTTTTAGCCGGTTGAATTGATTGAACTTTGACCCATATGCTTTGTCGATTCATTTTCTAATTCAATTTTTAAAATATTGCACAATTCATAGTACAAATTATTTAAATACAAAATATACCATTTTATTTTCTACTAATATATTATGTCTCTACCTCAATCTCTTTCGCTCTTCCTCCACAATAATATTTACGATAAAAAGAATATCATTTTGTTCTTAATATAAAGTATTTAAAATATAAAATATCATTTTATGTTCTATTAAAATACTTTTTTTCTCTCTTTTATTAATATTTATAATATAAAAATATTAAAAATAATATTTTGTTCTCCGTATCAATTATTTAAAATACAAAATATTGTTTTCTATTGAAAATATATCTTTTCTTCTCTATTAATATTTATAATATGAAAATATCATTTGTTATTAGTACAAATTATTTAAAATACAAAAATACTCTTTTATTTTCTATTAAAAATATTTTGTTTTTCTTTTTCTCCTCCTCTATTAATATTTACATGTATAAAGGGTATTGTAATAAATTTTATTTTATTTATTTGTTCTTTTAATTGTCCATCAAACATCATATAAGACAAACAGATGTTAAATACTTTAAAGATTTATATTGTTCATTACAATACTTACCTTTTTGCAAATTAAACGCAGAGTAAAAGTGTTAACGATTTCGGAGTGACAAAATTGATTTAAAGGGAATTAGTTATATAAAATTGATTTTAAGTAAAAATAAGTTGAAAAAGAAGATTATTGTTAACTCACGTGACTTTTTCGAAATTTTGGGTTCAAATCAACCATCAATATGTAATCATGTTAAAAAAATTTAGTGAAAGTTCTGATTGATAGAGTTGAAGCAATATGTTGCAATGCATTTTCATAGAGATAGAGTGAGATGGGTAGAATCTAAGTTTCATTCATTGGTTAAAACTTACAACAAATAACATTGGGATATTTATATTAGTAAAATTTCTAACAGTGTTACATTTAACTCCTAACTGTAATAGCTAATCATTAATCCACTGCTTAACTAACTCTATTATTTAACAGTGTTAACAACTGCAATACTATATCTTTAATACCCCCTTCAAACTCAAGGGGATTGGACTTCACATAAGACCTTGAGTTTGTCTCTGAACTCTTGAAAGAGGACTGAACCAAGAGGTTTTGTCAAGGTGTTTGCAATTTGAGCAGAGGCAGGAACATGATGAAGCTGAAGTTTCTTGGACACTACCCTTTATCTAACAAAGTGGATGTCCAGTTATATATGCTTTGTTCTAGCATGTAACACAGGGTTGTGAGACAAAAGTACAAGACTCAAATTGTCACAAAGAAGATTTGGAGTATGATAAGTTATACTAAGTTCTACCAGTAAGGATTTCACCCACAATAATTTAGAAGTCGTATGAGCTAAGGCTCTGTACTCAGCCTATGTGCTCGACCGAGCCACCAAAGACTATTTTTTAGAACTCTAGGAAATCAGATTTGGTCCAAATAATACGCACGTGTCAGATGTGAATCTTTTGTCATTTATGTCACTAGCCTAGTCCGAGTCACAATAAGCCATGAGGAAATTTTTTTGAGCAGATACAGAGGAGAAATCAGCAAACCATGATGAAGATTTCCACTTAAATATTTGAGTATTCTTCTACTGTGAACCAATGAGTGTCCAGGTATGGTTAATGTAACATACTGTAGGGCACCAACAATAGACTTGTACAACTGGGGATCAGAGAAACTTACAAGTCTCATTTCCATGTGTCTATGTTTCCTTCTAAAGTGTCATTTGGAACTGAGGTGTGTGGGCTGAAGATGTGAAAAACACAAGAAGGGGGGTTGAATTGTAAAACTTAAAACAAATACTTAGACAACACAGTATTTTTATCCTGGTCTGTTTGATCTCAAACTACTCCAGTCCACCCGTCAAGGTGATTTCGCCTCTCTCCAACGAGGTCTTAATCCATTATATTCAAAGGATTACAACAACTACTTTAACAACTGTTAAAGCCTTCTTGAGTATAACCACAAACTGGTTTATCTCAAGGAAATCTTTTACAAATAATTTGAACAATGATGTGTTAACATTTTCTAATAAAATAATATATCACAATTGTGATAATTACACAATTTAAGCTTGGAATAAACTGAATTTGCTAAAGCGTTTGAGTAAGCGTGGTTTTGAAGGCTTGGCAAATTATGTGAGTGCATGCGTGCGTATTTTCTAAAGCAGACTTGTTTAAATATGCAAGGCATAGATACGTTGTCCATAAAGCCATTTTAATGATAATAACGCACTTTCCTTTTTGAGAAGATCTTGTCTGAGGATAGCCGTTAGCATTTAATTCTGTCTTGAATACTTAATAACGCTTCAGAGTCTTCTTTGCTTATGCTAACGCTTCAGAGTGTTCTTTGCTTATGGTAACGCTTCAGAGTGTTCTTTGCTTTAACTTATGATAACGCTTCAGAGTGCTGATGACTTGGTAAAGATCTTTGATCAGAGTCAGAGTGTATATGTTTATGCGCAGATTCTGGTCATCAAGCTTCAGCGTATGATCTGGTAGCTTCAGCGTGTAGCACAAGTTACTGATCTTCTGATGCTTCTGATGCTGATGTTGATTCCATCAGAACTTCTGTATATACAAAACATAATTTTAAGAAGCATATTTGTCTTATATATAAATCTTACAATTTATTTATTATTTGTATTTTGTTATCATCAAAACTCTAATTAAGGGTTGTAGAATCAAACTATGTTCTAACAATCTCCCCCTTTTTGATGATGACAAAAACCAGATTTTTTCAATTAAAAATAAAGAATAAAAAGTATAGAATTAAGAAGAGAAACTCCCCCTGAGTTGTTTACTTCCCTTTAATTCCATGAGTCTTTGAGCATCAGAACTTTACTGTATCTTTCATCAGAGTTTTGTACCTGTAAGCTTTTCAGAAGAGAGAAATTTAAATGGATCAGAATGTCTGAGACTTATGTCTCAGTAATCCATTATTGAAAAATATCATTCTTTCTCCCCCTTTTTGTCAGTTATCAAAAAGAACAAATAATCAGAGCCAAAATGCATTTATATTAAAAATCAGAAGCAAAGATAAGTTTAGAACAATGTAAGAATATTACAGATAAACATGTTATAAAAACGAGGAAATTCTAAGAGGGAGGAGGAAGACGTGTGAATAAAGCTTCCAACATGCTCTTGATCTGGGTGTTGGTTTCCTGTTGCTGGGTTAACATGCTCGCGATTGCATCAATTTTGTCGTCCTGTTTATCCATTCTTTCCTTCATCAAAATATTAGATCTTTTCAGGTCTTCTAGAGTCTGCCTATCAAAGGAGGAAGCTTGAGAATCTTCAGTAACAGGATGCTGCTAAGAGCTTTCTACAATATCCTCTTTTTGACCCAGTGCTTCAGCAGGAATCATCTGCTCTGGAGTATCAGTCAGATTGAGATCTTCTGACTCTGGTTGAACTTTGGATGCTGGATGATGTTCAGACCAAATAGCATTGTCCAGAGGGAGAACTTCTTCCTTAAGCAGCTGGCTTAGAACTGGACCTTCAATTTCTTTCAGTAGATTACTGAAGTTCTGTTGAACTTGTCCGTAGCTTTGTTCTTGCATTTTATGAGTTTCAGAAGATACCCATCTTCTGAACCTTATCCAAAGGTAGTCTGATGCAGCAGGATCAACCAGCTCAAGACTAGCTTGTTTC